GCAGATAGAGAGAAAGGGAGAGTGAGATAAGAGAGGCCACAAGAACACGGTGCTGGAAAAGCAGCTTCAACCAGAGATGAGAGAAAGAAAATCTGGAATGTCAGTTGACTGCAAGTTAGCTGAATAGTTTGGGAATTGTTGGGAAACTTGAATTTTCAAACCTGATTCTGATCGGTTAGGTCTGACCTTGCAAACTATTGCGCTGGAGGTTAAGAGATCATAATGACTGCTTTTAAGCCAAATAAAGTTAGGCAAGCTGCTTATTTGCTATGATAGCATAGTGTATTGGTGTGACATATATCTCTTGGTGATGAGAGAATATAAGCATCCCAGACCTGTGGAAAGAACTGCCACACCAGCGAAGATCCCCACAATATTGAAACAGTGCTAAGGACACACCTCCTCATCCAAAAGGCACACTTCATGGAAGACAGGATTGAAAATGGAAAGAACATGGGATATTGGAAGAACTATTATTTACACAGATATAGCACAGGATTCTAGAATCCTGAAAATATCACCTTATTGGCTATTGTGCTTAATGCAATCATTTGAAATGCATAAATCAGGGCATTCTAATAATCAGGGAAGAACTTGTAGGTGCTTTGGGGTTTGCTTTGTCAAAATGATCACAAACAAGTTGCATTTTTAAAAGAGCTTTTAAACAATAATCATAAATAGCGTACACCGACTTCCGACCAAGATGGAGGCATAGGTAGGCACACTGTGCCTCCTCGCACAACCAAGATAGGGACAACAATAATTTAGAAACAGAATAATAACCAGAACTAACAGAAAATTGAACTGTATGGAAGTCGGGCACCCAAGGAGTTAAAATAGGCCCAGTCATCCAGACCGGTAGGAGGGGCGGGGTTGGGCAGCCAGGCATGGATCATGGTGCAGAGATCAGAGAGCACTCGGACCTGGCATGTAAGGCATCCAGGGTGCGCAAGACCGCAGTGGGTGAACCCTGAGCACACAAGCGGCAGCTGGCAGACTCCAGCTGAGGGGTGGCAACTGGCAGACCCAGCAAGGTGGCAATTGTGAAGCAAGGCACTGTGTGCAACCCAGGATCCCAGCACTGGGGAACAGAGCCTTAGGGCACTGATTGAAAACACCTGGGGGGGTTGAGGTGCAGGGAGGGACTCCCAGCCTCACAGGAGAGGTCACTGGAAAATCCCATGGAGTGCATAAGCTCACCCACATGGGAATTGGCACCAGAGGGGTCCAGTTTGCTCGAGGGAAGCAGCAGAAGGGATTGAGGTCCGACGGAGAGAGGAGCAAGTGCCATTGTTCCCTCCCAGACACTGCCCCCACATACAGTGTCACAACCCAGAGACTGGGGTGCCCCGCCCTGGTGAACAACTAAGGCTCCACCCCTCATACATAACAGGCATGACCAGACCAAAGGGGGGAAAAGAAAATGGCTCAAACAGAAGAACAAATGAAAGTCCCACAATCAGTACTTTTAAGTGACTAAGAGATAGCCAACCTATCAGATGCACAGTTCAAAGCACTGGTGATCAGGATGCTCACAGAATTGGTTGATTTTGGTCTCAAATTAGATGAAAAAATGCAGGCTACAATAAGTGAAATGAAGAAAAATGCACAGGGAACCAATAGTGATGGAATGAAAGCTGGGTCTCACATCAATGGAGTGGACCAGAAGGAAGAAAAAAAAACATACAACCAGAAAAGAAAGAAGAAATAAGAATTCAAAAAAATGAGGAGAGGCTTAGGAACATCCAGGACATCTTTAAACATTCCAACATCCTAATTATAGGGTACCAGAAGGAGAAGAAGAAGAGCAACAAGTGGAAAAGTTATTTGAACAAATAATAAAGGAGAACTTCCCCAATCTGGCAAAGGAAATAGACTTCCAGGAAGTCCAGGAAGCTCAGAGAGTCCCAAAGAAGTTGGACCCAAGAAGGAACACACCAAGGCACATCATAATTACATTAGCCAAGGTAAAAATGAAGGAGAAAATCCTAGAAGCAGCAAGAGATAAGGAGATAGTAGCCTACAAAGGAGTTCCCATCAGACTGTCAGCTGATTTCTTAAAGGTGACCTTACAGGCAAGAAGGGGCTGGAAAGAAGTATTCCAAGTCATGAAAGGCAAGGACCTACATCCCAGATTGCTCTATCCAGTAAAACTTTCACTTAGAATGGAAGGGCAGATAAAGTGCTTCTCAGATAAGGTCAAGTTAAACAAGTTCATCATCACCAAGCCCTTATTTTATGAAATGTTAAAGGGACTTATCTAAGAAAAAGAAGATAAAAGACATGTATAGTAAAATGCCAGCAAACTCACAATTATTAACAACCACACCTAAAACAAAAACAAAAAGAAACTAAGCAAACAACTAGAACAGGAACAAAACCACAGAAATGGAGATCACATGGTGGGTTAGCAACAGGGGAGTGGGAGGAGGAGAGAGGGGGAAAAGGTACGGAGAATAAGTAGCACAGATGGTAGGTAGAAAATAGACAGGGGGAGGGCAAGAATAGTATGGAAAATATAGAACCTAAAGAACTTATGATACACGGACATGAACTAAAAGGGGGGAATGTGGTGGGGAGAGGGTGTGCAGGGTGGAGGGGAATGAAGGGAGGGTAATGGAACAACTGTAATAGCATAACCAATAAAATATATGAAAAAATAATTTTTAAAAAGTGTACACCATGTGTACACAGTAGTGTACACAATTGTGCCCTCAGCCCCAGGTCAGGCGGTTGCCTTTGTCCAGATTTGGTGGCTGTTTACAGATCACTTGGTGTTCAACTGGCTTGTTATGGCCCTTCAGTAGGAAATGGGATTCCCTCTATATGACCTCTAATGATGTCCAGTTTGGGTGCAGGACGGCATCATCATCATGGGCCTGGGGACTTGGATGTCTTTGGAATAAAGAGTTGGCCAGTGGGCTCTCAGGCATTGAGACCAAAGAGGAATTACACCATGGCCACTGCAGGTATGAGATCTGCTTTTATGTCTGTGAAATAGCATGAAGAGTATTGGACTCTAGACGGCTGGCTGAATACTTCTCTCTGTCCCTTCATGGGATACTTAATGATGATCTTGGTGGTGATGAATTCAATCTTAAAACCCAGACAATAAACTTCAATCATAAAAATTCAGGTGGACATGTGCAGATCGAATTTGGGAATCAAATCTTCTGCCAGATTTCTCTACTTCTAAGTCAATCACTGTGGACAAAGTCAGAACTGAGCCCATAAAGAAGGGAATTTGAACATTTGATTACAGTATGAGGAAAAGGTTAAATTTCTTTTAGAACTAAGTGGAGGCATCTGTTTTGTTTAAATTAAGAATCTGTAAGTACCAGCCAGGGACTGAGTTGACAGCCATTTCTGTAATAAAGTAATAAATCATGGGGATGGTTAAGGAAGCAAGAAACACCATATTCTTCCTTTGCTCAACCAATTAAGCAATGAGCCATCTGGGTCTTTTTGTTAATTACTGTCAAACACAACTTACACAATTGAATTCAGCCTTTTATTTAATTATATTAATTTATTTCAGCAACTTCAAATACCCACAATGCCAATAATAAAGTTCATTTAAAAAAATAGAGGTCCTGTTTAATTTTTATTTTTCAACCATTAATACCCTTTACGAGTTTGCCATCTGAGAATTATTAGCTTTATCTTCACTCAAGATATCTGAGGAATTCGTTTCAAATATATACAAGTGTGAAGGAAGAAGACAATGGCTGAAATTTCTTCCCTTGATGGGATGATGTATCTATTTAGATCAGTTCTAATAGAACTGTTTGAAACAATAAAATGTTCTGTATCTGTGCTCTCCAGTATAGTAGCCCTAGCCACATGTGGTGATTGAGCACTTGAAATGTGACCAGTACAACTGAGGAACTGAGTTTACATTGTCTTTAACTTTAGTGCATTTACATTTATAAGTACTGTGCACTAACCGATTGCGCCACTGGAGCTCCTGCATTTACATTTAGATAGCCACATGTGGCTAGTGGCTACTAGCATGGGTCTCAAGTGCCTTCTGAGGAAGGAGAAATGCAGTGAGCCATTGACTTCAGGAGGTGGAAAGGAATATGTACATAAGCATGATGGCTATTGTTAGGAAACCCTCACTTCCTACCCAGTCTTCTTTATTTGAAACAATGCATTCTGAAATGGCCCCAAAGAAGCCAGTGTCTTGGAGGAACGGTTTCTAAGCTGAGCATGTGAAGGGTGAACTCCATCTGGAGGAGCAATGGGTGTGAATGGTGTCTTCTGATTAGCAGAACCAACCCTACTGAGCAATCCTTACAGTCAGACTGGGCCAGACCGGAGCAGGCAGAGCCAGTCAGCTCTTGCTAGTGTGGCTCTGCTCTAGTGGAGGCGTGTTCTTCCCACAGATGTGAATGTGCCACCGGTGGGCACACTGAGGGTCCCAGACAGTTCCTACAGGCTCAGATATGGCCCCATCAGCCCTCATGAGCATTAACACCCAACTCGAGTTCCTCCCGTGTGAATTTTGGCTCAGATGCTGGCATTTCCCCTCAGGGAGGTTTGCCTCTTTGCAAAGGTCGCTATTTCTGATCCAGTCCCTGCAAACCCTGTAACAGGGCATCAGGAGAGTTTTGCAAGTGTATGTACTTCTGTTAGTAGAATTCTCAGTATGAGCTGACCCTTCCAAAGACCAATGACTGCAGAGAAGTATTCACTACATTGCATGAGAATCTGGTTGTGGTTAACCAAACTAGAGAAAGATGAGGGCAGGGTGAATGGAGGTAGAAAGTTTGAGGAAATTCTCATTAACATGAAAACAACCTATCCCAGGTTTACTGACTCTTTTCAGCTGCTGGACTGAGCTGCAGGGTTGGCCAAAGCTCTCTTCCATCTCCCCTCCAACCCTACTCTTCTCTCAGGCGCTTCCCTTCCTTCTTCTGAGCTATAGCTCAACCAGTGAACATGAAATGTATTCTAATAAGCCCAATTCAAGGTTTCTGGTATGTCAGGCCTTGATGCTCTCTTTACACTTTAATTTTCATGGTTGGCTACACAGACCATCCAAGGCAAGGCCATTTGAAATAAGCTGATCAATTGGATTTATGTATTCTGGAAGTGCTACCAGAGAGTGTCCAGGCCTCTTCCCTTAGTCAGAGATTAAAAGCAATTATTACATGCTCAGTGCTGAAGGGAAGAAAACGAAGAATCTTCTGTACTGTGTAATGGTCATCTACTCGTGCTGAAGACAATGGATCATTTCTTTTTCTTTTTCTGAAACAGCCAGCAGTCAATGGCATGGGTGCAAGAAGGAAAACACTTCTTATATTCATTCACGGAGCTTTCTTCTCCACGATCACAAGATCACAAACACAGAGGGGCTGACTTATGAAATATACCTGCTTGCCAAACTTCTCTTTTCCTTCTGACACTGGCATTCAGTGTTCATCCATAGCCTTCACATTGTCGAAGTGCCACAGCTGGCTGGCTTTTCCATCACACTGGCGCAAGTACAAGTCTTTGTTGTTTTCCTGCACCACCGCTTCCATGCATTTCCCAGAAACAACGTGAACAATCATTCCATTCTGGAAAGTCAGAAGGGCAGAAAAGACAGCCAGTCAGTCCCCCTCAGGCAGTCACAGAGAAGGATATTTCTAAGATTTGTAGTAATCATTAAGAGACTAAGAGAGGTCATGTGAACTGGAACTGGTAAGGAACTGTAGTATTTTGGTTAAAGTATAATGTAATTTAGGCAACCCTGAAATTTAGATATCATTCAGAACCTAGGGGCCATAAACTCAATTACCTTTACTGTGGTTGGGTAATTATACCATACCTGAAAGTTCTCGTTATTAGAATGCCTAGTGTAAAAATCATGTGCAGTCTTTCTATTGTATTGATGACATTCATTGTTATCAGTGGCTTGTCAATTTCTGCTTTTAAATGATTTAATTTAATCCCTGCCCTCTATTATCCCTGCAGTTTAGTACTGCTGCTACCAGGTTACAGTAGAGAGTAAAACTACACCAAATCTGTCAGATTTAATATTGAATCTAGCCATGCTCTTCTCAAGGAAAAATCAACATCTCGATGAAAAGTTAAGTGTTCTTTTTTAAAAAAAGATTTTGTTTATTTATTTTAGACAGAGAGGAAGGGAGGGAGAAAGAGAGGAAGAGAAACATCAATGTGTGCTTGCCTCTCACACACCTCCTGCTGGGGAGCTGGCCTAGTCCGCAACCCAGGTATGTGCCCTGATGGGGAATTGAACCGGCGGTCCTTTGGTTTGCAGGCTGGCGCTCAATCCACTGAGCCACACCAGCCAGGGCAAGTTAAATGTTCTTAATGGCATGGATGATAATGTCCATTTATTCATTTATTTATTATTTAGGTATTTTTGAAATATAATTGATATACCATAATATTAATTATTTTAAAATATACAGCTTGGTGATTTTTAGTATATTATTGGAGTATATGCAACCATCACCACTGTCTAATTCCAGAACATTTTCATCACTATTAAAACAAAACTGCTGTTCATTAGCAGTCACTTCCAATTCCTCCTTCCTTCCAACCACTAAAATCACTAATATGCTTTCTGTGTTTAAGGACTTGTGTATTATGGATAGTTCCTATAAATGCAATAACATGTGGCCTTTAGTGACTGGCTTCTTCACTTTGCATATTTTCAAGGTTCATCCATGTTGTAGCATATAATAGCAACTAATTTTTTCTCTTTATTTTTTATTGTGGTAAAAATACATGACTTAAAACTTACCATCTTCGCCATTTTTAGGTGTAAAGTTCAGCAGTGTTAAGTATATTCACATTGTTTTGAAACAGATCTTCAGAACATTTTCATCTTTCAAAACTGAAACTCTGTACCCATTAAACAACCCCTCCTCACCCCAGCCCCTGGTAACCACCATTCTACTTTCTGTCTGTATGAATTCAACTACTCTGGGTGCTGTATATGCGTGGGATCATACAGCGCTTTTCTTTTTGTGCCTGGGTTATTTCACTTAGCATGATGTCCTCCACGTTCATCCACGTTGCAGCATTTGACAGACTTTCCTTCCTTTTTAAGTCTGAATAATATTCCATTGCAGGTGTATGTTTATCTACTCATCCACCATTAGACACCTGGGTTCCTTCCACCTGTTGGCTACTGTGAATAGTGCATCTATGAGTAGTACGTCATTCCTGGGCAGAATCATAATACCCTTTCTAAGTCTTATTCTTTAATGCCTAAAAGATGTTGGGTGTATTTTGTTCACTAATCTTTTACTTACTATTTTTAAGTGCTGTTTCTAAAATGTGTCTTACCCACAAGACTTGCTTAGAATGACACTTTATAACCACTCATAAAGGACCTTGCCTTGGTTCTAAAACTTCTTTGCGCGTGTGTGGGCCGGAGTCCTGGTTTACTTGTCACCAAAGCTCCACAGGCTTCGTTCTCAGATGCTGGTTGTTAGTTCAGCCTAAGCTCTGCACCATATAATTTTGTTCTTTCAGAGCCTTGTTTAAGAATAGCAATGCCCAGTCTGCTTATTTTACCCTCTTTATTCCCAAGACGAAGTTAAAGGAAACAAAAAAGATGTGCATATTTATTTGTTTGTATATTTTTACCCTAACTTATTCCAGAAAGGATTTGAGGTGGGGAAAGAGCCGTTGATACTGGCACCTTCCTACCCCAATTCTGTATGGGGGACACGTGCACTCTCCCTAAGTACTTGTATTTTACTCACTTCCTCTTTATTGGTGCATAGCTTCTGAAAGGATCTAGAGCTTCTCTCCCCTGGGGTGACGGGAATCAAAGTCTTCCTGAAACGATCAAATGTCCACAGTGGAATTTGCAAAACAAGAAAGCAATACCTACATTGGTATCTGTGCTGGTGGTGGAGCAGAGAGCCCTGTGCCCTAAGACCACGCTAATGAGGTGGTTGACATGCTCCATGGTCCTACCTGTGACTTGAGCTAATAAACTTCAGAAAGGGACTGTCCCCACTCTCTGCCACAGAGGAGGTCAGAGCCATAAGGAACATGGCGAATGAGTACATTTCAAGATTCTGATGGCCCAGCATTTCTGCAAAGTTGACTTTACCTCCCTGAGGCCTTACCGTCAGGCCATTAATTTAAATAACAGAGGTACAGATCTGAATGGTAAAACTTGACCACTTGGAAGAGCTTGGGACACAGCGCCGCCCACTGGCACTGCCAAGCTCTTCTGAATGGATTACTGACCTCCTGGAAGTCCCAGTGCTGCTGATGGATGGCGGGGCCTTCCTCGGTACAGTTCTGAAGAACCACCTGCTCTCGCCTGACATCGAAGCACAGGTGCTGTGGGATGCCAAAGTGGATCTCCTTCCTGCCAGTGTGCTCCAGGTGCTGGGAGAGAGAGAACGCTTGTTACCACAGCTAGAAGGAGACACAGAGCTCACAGTGGAGCTGAGGCCTCGGGGAAATCTTCAGATATTGGGGTGGGAGGGGGTGGTCAGCAAGACTGTATCTCAGTCAAGTCCACAAACACACTGCACGACTAGCCCTGGCCTCTGACATCTCCACCTTCCACCTGCTCCTGCATTCATACTTACAGACTCTGGTGTTTTCCTCCATTGTTCTATCTACCGCACTGTAGGTGAGGCCATTAAAGAATGCTGCGTGCTCTGGGAGTGTCCTGCTGAAAGGGCTGATGAGGAATCCCTCCGAGGCCCAAGGCGAGCACTTTCTAGAGAGAGCTGACCTGGCCCTGCAACTACGTTCCCTGTTGTTTGTTGTATGTGCTGACGGTCGCTCATGGTTATTATTTCCTTTGGTGTTTTCAAGTGTTGGGCTGTGCATGCTTTGCAGGTGGGCTTTACCTGTGGGAAGTCTGTGTGCCTGGGATGGGGGGTGAGTCCTGACAAAACCCTTTTCTGTCTGTTCCTGCCAAGCAGAGGCTGAACTAATTTTTCTGTTAGTTTTGTGGTGTGGAGATAGGGCCAGCTACATGGGCATAAGACCTGTGCTACCCTCTGGGGCCTCATGCTTAGAAGAACGTAATGTTCTTGGAGTAATATAATTGGTTTAATGCTGTACTGTCACTGTCTTGAAATTCTTAACACATGCTGCATCAGAGGCCTGACCTTTCCGTTTTGCACTGGGCCCTGCACACGAGATAGCTGGGTGTATTCCCAGACCACACTGTTCATAACTTGTTAGATGCAAACCTGCGGTTACACATTCAGGGAAGAGAAATTGTCTCCTACTCAAAGAGCCTGCAGAGAAGGACAAGCTGCTTTATCGTCTTTCCGTGGCAGTGTGTGGATGTCTCTAGTCAAACTTTTCACAGTTTGAAGTTTTTAGTTTCTCTTTGAAGGCCAACACTGGCTTGACAAGGAAGTCTCATTTCCATCTTCTCACCTCTAATGGGCTGAAGGAAGGCTCTCGTCACTTATGCCTGCAGGGAACCAATGCCTCTGGCTCCTGAGGTTGTCAGTGACTCCCCCCACCCGCCCCCCACCAAGGCAGGGCAGCACGGCCCATGTCCATTAGCTCTATTTTCCGTTGCCTCTTGATTTTTGGTTGTTGGAAATTTCTCTTTCTTACAAATTTTGTTACTTATGCATGGAAAAGGGTCTTTCTTATTTTTTTAAATCCAATATATCTAGGTGTTTTTAGGAGAAGGGCTTTTGGCTTCTCTAGTTCACAATTTTGCTGGCTCCCCAAGTCCTTGCTTATCCTCCTCTTCACCAAAAATTTAAAAAACCTAAAAAGCTAACATTCTGTGTACATGAGGGCGGCTGCATTAGTGCCATTGCGGACGAGAATATCAGACTCGGAGAGGTTAAGGAGCCTGCCTAGTACCACACGCAGCTAGAAATTGGTGAGCTGTTGCTGCCACACTGCATGGCTTCCTCACTTTATATGTGTGTCCTCCTCCCATGTGCTAGGTGTGAATGCCTAATTGATGTGTTCGGGAAGACTGGCAAAAGGCAAAGCTGAAGGGGCTGGATGGATCCTGAGCATCACCTTCCCCCAGGATCTCGGGACCTGCACCGCCCAGCCTAACCTCGGCTGGTCCTTCCTGCCTGAAGGGCTAGACTCGGGTGCCTCCAAGACATGCTCTGGCTTTGCCCTCAGGCTCTCAAGGCCTCACCAGACTCTGTGATCAATATCTCTAGGAACTTATACTTGGTTGTTGGTTTTTAATAGAGGCCTTTGGGGTATTATGGCTTAACTCAAATGTCCCTGTCTCAGGCTGTGAAAGAGAGATTTGGAGGCAGGCTAGACTTCCTAGGTCATCACCCAAGCTGTGAAAAGAAGTGGACCCACCAACCTTCAGCCAGTATCACGGAAGCTGCCCGCCACCTCAAGCAGTTATTCCATGATGGAAATTTTGAAGAGAAGATACTCCGAGATATGGGAGATCTTCCTGGTGACCAAGGGCCTATATGGCTGCTCGAAGGACCCTGCTTGAGACCCTTCCCCTGACTCAATTACCTTTTTCTTCCTTCCTCAGACACTTGGGATGGTCTACCAACAGCTGAGGGGCTGCAGGACGAAACAGAGTTCTACCTTGACTCCTTCCTTTAGCTTTTGGGAATTATCAACTAGCAATTTTAGAGACCCCAGAACACTAGGGGGTTTCAAGCACTCCGTGAACCCTTGGGATTATTAAAATTTTCTGGGGATGTGCTTCTTTGCATTTTCCTTGGGAAAGTGTCCTTAGAGTTCATCAACTTAAAAGAAACATGTCACCTGTAACAAACATGTCTTATGTCTGACTTCTGAGCTTCCAAGCCCCACCCCTCTCCTTCTCCTCTTGCCCCATTTCTGGGTGAGCTCACGAGCAAGCCTGTTGCTGCCTTCTTTGATGTTGGCAGGGCTTTCAAACCAGGTAAGCCCCAGCCTGAGCCCGGGAACCCTTACCCCAGCCTGCCCCCTGACCACATAAGAGCCAGAGCCAGTCACCCCATCTTGCTACCTCAAGCCAGTTGCAGACCTGCGTGGGAGCCTCCTGCCCCCCGTAAGGCAGCCACAAGATGTAACCTACAGAGGTTAAGAACCACAAGCAAGGAGGAGTGGACTAGTCACTGGACTGACCCGTCTTCCTTAAGCCTAGATTTTAACCAGGTGCCGCCTGGATTTCTCAATGTTGATCTCAAACGGCCTGTCCCATGTTGAGCTCTATACGCACATGAGCAGGCCCTCTGGCTCTGGCACAGGTCTCTCCCTCTGGGAGGCACGCCTGCCGCTCACACCCAGCATTTCTTCTTGGCTGCGCTTTGGGCCGTAAGCATTTGTTGTCACCAGGGCAGCCCCACTCTTCTTGGGTACTGAGGACCCCAGCCACACTGCAGCGTGGGGCTTCGGGAAAGCTACGGAGTCGGTCTTTGGTGCTGTCTCTTGGTCCCTCCCCACACAAGTCACCACAGCCTCGATCATGAGGAGAGGCTCCCACCAGCTCTGGCATCACGGGAGAGCTTATGTGCTGCTTCCCTCCTCTCCCCAGGGGCGTTTGCACCCTCTGCTTACTTCTCGCTGTAGAAGGAATTCCACAAACCAAACTGCTCAGGACACAGGAAACGTCCTGAAGGAGGCCAAGGCTCTGAAAGCTGGAGCCAATGGCTCCTTCTCTGTGTAAGTCCTCTGCCGGCAAGCAGAGCAGCTGGTCACCCAAGGCCACCAGGCCTGTCTGCTCCAAACCCAGCCCTCCCCCCTGCCTCACACACACACACAGACACACGCAGACACATATACTCACACTCACACACACACACACCAGGCTCCTGTGGTGCCCTGAGGCTCCACCTCTGGGATACAGTGTCGGCGCCCATAGATCCCATGCAATACCTGAAAGGCAGGGCATGTCTACTCCGGGTGGACTCGGTACCAGAGGACTTGAGACTTAAGACTATGAGGCATGAGTCATGGCTCTGAGGCATCACTGCAAAGGGGCAATACTCTCTGGGTCCCCTTGCATTGTCAGGAATTCTGAGCCCACTTTCCCCAACTCCGGTAACCCACTTTCCCCACCTCAGGATCTAATTGGCTAGTGAGCTCAGGCTGGTCCTAATATTTCATAAATGACACACTTGTGGATATTTACTGGCACACAGCTTTTCTTTGACCTCTGATTATAGCTTCTAATTTTAATAGGAGCGTTTCCATAAATTCTGGATTTCAAGTGTCCAGAAAATTTTGATAATTCTGGATGATTTCATAATTCTGGGCCCGCTTTCATACAAAGTGAAACCATTTATTGAGGCTGGGGCAGGTGCAGCTGTCCTTGCGTACTGGCCATGGGCTCCTCAGTCCCAGAAGCCTCTGCCCAGCTTGAGGTACTCATTTCCTTTACCTGCCTGAACCCCGGGTGACCACCGTCTAAGCCTCGGTTTCGTCATCTGCCAGATAAAAGCATTGGCTCAGTAGCTTCTCTGTTGCCCTCAAGCTCAGTCTCACATCCTCTGACGGTGGTCAGTGTCCTCATTTGCAGCTGGGGGTGGGGTGGGCAGGGCAGGGATCCCAATGGGGGACCGTGAGCCATCAAGGGACATGGAACCACTGAAAGGAGATGCCCCAAAGGGAAGTGATGGGCATTACCGGGAGAACTCTGGCCACCCACCTGTTGCTGCCGGCTGTTACTGCAGGGAGCCAGCATCAAGGCACAGCCCGGGAGGTCCCCTTCTGCCCGGCAGTCTGCACAGAAGCCAAGTCCGGTGTTGTGGAGCTGAAAGCGGACATGCGTACAGAAGTGAATCCCGCCCGTGATGGAAAGTCACCCTCTGTCAGTCTCCGTCCCTCTCCTTCACTTTCTGGAGAACAGGTCAAGGTGCCACATTTGGGCCACAAAAATGAGCGAGGTCAAGCTGAAGCCACTGATGCTAAGGGACAGGCCTCCTGAAGAGGCAGGCAGCCCCCGTCCTGGTGAGGGGCTCCAGGATGGGTTATGGGGGATTGCCCCTGGGAGGGGCAACCCAGGGCCTCCCTCAGGGCAGGCATGGAAGCCTCTGAGGCTCCACTGAGCTTGGACTGGTTGGCCAGGGTCATGGAAGACCATGGGAACATCCGGTTCCTGTCTTGGGAAGCTGCCCACCCTACCTCTTCCTCTTCATCTTCCCTGGGTCACTCCTTGCCTTTCCAGAGAACCTGGGCCTGTGTTCAGATGGGTACAGCTCAGGGTAGACATTGGCCAGAAACCAGTGGAACGTTCGACAGCCCAGCCTCCTTTGCAGCTGCAGGCGTTCTGTGCAGTCTGGCTTCTCAGCCTGGGGAGGGGAGAGTCACAGGCAGTGGGAGGAAGAGAGCTTGTTGTACATCAGAACTTAATGAGGTGGAGGAGGGACAGACGTGGCTGAAGCTGAAGGATCAGGACAGAACGAGAGGCCCAAGACCGCAGCTGCCCAGGGCAGTGTGAGGAGAGGAGGGTTTGGGTGGGACAGAATAGGAGGGTCTTCCTTAGAGATAGCTGTGGAACCTGCCAGGTAGTAGGGGATGTCGCCCCCTTCCCACAAGCCCTCACATCTTCAGTCTACAAAGACCATGATATCTGTGCTTTGATGACTTTTCTGAGGCAGTTGGCAAAACATGGTGGGGCTGTGCACCTTTGGTTGGTGGGGTACAATAGCATGATGGGCCTCGTGGAGGCAGAAGCTGACCTGAAGGCCACTGGGACCAACTAAGATGGAAAATTGTGGGGCGGGGGTGGGGACAAGGTGAATTTACCCCTCTTTCCCCTAGATGCCCAATTTCCTCCATTAACAAGTCATTCCTTTGGGTTACACTATCCCCGTTTTTTTAAGATTCTCCTTTATAATACAATTGTTCTGGGATGAATACCAAGGTAAGTCCTTAAGACATTAGTATAAATTAACGTTTTGGGCTGTATTGATAAGATACAAAGAACCCTACTCAGAAGTTTAGTACTAAATCCTGGGTATTGTTAGGGAAGAGAAAGGTGCTAAGAAGGGATTCAAAGGGCCAAAAACAAACAAGAAGAGAGAGGGACTTATTTCTTGGGGTGGGATTTTAAAAAAAAGAGAGGGAGCTGACCCAGGAGTTCTAACTTGATGGCCTGTAGTCTGGAAATTAGACACTGGTCTAGTTGGCTATGTGAAGTGAGTTTGGGTTGGGTTTGCTTCTTCCCTCCTCTAGTCCTCAGATATAAATGTTGGGAAGAGTCAGGTCTGAGTCTGCAGTGCCAAAATGCTCTGTACGTGCTTCTCAAAGTGTGATCCCCTGAGCAGCTGGTTCAGAAATGCCCAAGGAATGTGTTTAAAATGCAGGTTCCTGGGCCCGGCTCCACATCTATGACTCAGCAGGTCCAGGCATTTAATCCGCACTTTAACCATTTACTTTCCACAGAAAGTTTGAGGACAACTCTTCTGTCAGGAATGTCTTGTTCAGCATATTTACCCATCATTAAACCAAAGAAAGCTGTCACTTTCCTCTAAGGAGTTACAAAAGGTTTTCTGATGGCTTCCTGGCATTCTCAGCGTTCATGTGATCCTCCTCCCCAGCTCTCCTCCAGGGCTGGAGTTTGCTACTAAAGCAGAAACATTTCTTCATGAGAGTGCCATCCCCTTCACCTTTCTCGGTGATGAGACCAACTGGCGGATCTACCCAGCCTCAGATTCGGGGGCATGTGGACAGGGAACTTTCCCCTTGGACAGGCACGTGTGAGCGAGGAGAAACCAGGAGAATGTCAGCTCCTCCGGCACTGAAGCCTGGCCTCATGTTCAGCTGCCTGGGCTTCCTGTATCTCAAAGTTCAAGTGAGGATTTTGGGGGTGGAGCAGGAGGGGGGATGGAAGGGTCGAAATCATTGGAACAAAATTAATTTTTAGCCATTTAAATTTAAAGTAAATGCATGCTATCAAACACCTTCATGGAGGCAGTGATGTTACTGAAATCTTGATATCAAAGTAAGCAATAAGACATTTCTAAAACATGAACTAATAGAAATGTTCAAAAGGAAAGTACCACATTTTTGGACTATAAGATGCACCCCCCCCCCTTCCAATTTGGGAGGAATAATGGTTGTTCATGCTGCTGTTGATTGCATTTACATTTACATTGGTAAAATATTATGTTATTTATATTACTAAATATTGTACCACATTTTTTGCTTCATTTTTTCCCCCTATTATCCTCTAAAACCTAGGTGCATTTTATGGTCCGAAAAATACAGGTAAGTCAGAAAAAAGGTCTGCTCACTTACCAGTAGGAGGTGCCATTCTTCTTGTGAAAGTCATAAAAGGAAGATTTGTGGATCAGAGAATGGACCGCACTCAGCAGCGTGGGCTGATGAGGGGTTTGTGGGAGCTGTTAAGGACCTCTGGGGTCCCCATTCCCAGCATAGTAAATGTGGATGTGAACCCATGTCTCACATGGAAACATGTTTGTGTCACTCCATAAGATTTAAGCTGAGTGACAGTTGACCAGCTGAAGATGCAATGTTTATGGACTTTAATTAAATGTGTAAAATTTTTATTTTTCTATGGCTTATTTTGGATCCTTTGTGATTATTTTTATGCTTATATTTGTTTCATGTCTTGGATAATTGCACAGCCTAAGCATTTTGCCCAGGTGAAAGGGCCCTCTGACACCTGTTCCATCCCTTACTCTCCTCTGGGCCCCAATGAAGCTGGCACCCTGCAGATGTCACCCCACAGACTTCGGGGTTCCAGGCCAAGAGCAGCTGTAGTGCCCCATGGGGGGGCTGAGAGAGATGGAGGACAGTCCCACTAGGTAGAAGAGCCACTTGACAGGGACAGCTCAAGGGAAGCAGAAGCCAGAAGCTTCTATCTTCACTGTAGCCAGGAAGGAGAGACACTCCCTGGCCCAGCCCTGCTGGCGGCCCTGTGATGGGCACAGAAGCCCCCTATGGGCTCTCCTTACCTTGCTCAAGGAGAAGGCCTTTGGGCTGTGCTTGTAGAAGGTTTCTTTGAACGAGCCCAGCCAGGTCTCAGCAATGCGAACCTTGTTCAGCAGGGTGGCCTCTGGGTCCAGTGGGGAGTCAGCGTCCTGATTTTTGTAGATGTGCCCCACCCGAGAGCAGGGAAGGATTTCCACGGAGCCACCACACAGCCAGGTCTGCCGTGAAAGGACAAAATACACACCTCTGCGCTCCACTCCAAGGACGTGGGGCATGAGGGACCTGCTAGGAGCCGGCAAGAGGCACAGGAAATCATGAGCACAAAATGGCAAAGGTAAGTATAGTCCTCAGGTGCAGCAGAGTTGCCAGATCTGGGAGTTCTGGGTGGGGGAGTGATAAGGTGGGAAGTGGGGGCGGTTGTCCTGGGAGGGAACGGTGGGGTGAGGGTGCTGCACCCATGCAGCAGCCTGACCGCTCCCCCTTGAGACACAAGCACAGACGAGCCCTCATGGAGGCGTGGACACACGGGTTAGCACCCTGTTCTCCACAGGCTGCTTCCTCCGGGAAAGCGTGTCCCTAGCGGTCTGTCGTTTCTACAAGCTCGTGAAGTCTCCTGCTGTAGCGGCACCAGAAACTATCTGTGTGGAGATCAAAGCAGGCTTTGCTTACACAGTCTCCCCGCTCCCCACTAACTCTTACACTGACGCCCACACGCCTAGAATTCATTTGAGAGGAAGCCTTTCATTGCACATTTGGCCATAAAGGTGCAAATGAAAACGTTCCTAGCATAGGCAGCACACCAACTGAAACATATCCAGCCTGGGGTTCCCAGGCTGTATGCCAAGGTACCTCAGGGGGCCCCAGCAAACCCCAGGGGCCAAGAGGGTAGTTGAGGTGTTTGAGAGAAACATAGTGACATCTGTTGGCCGTCCTGCAAACTACAAGCATGAGGTGATTCACGGTTTCAACACTTGATGAAGTTTTGATGGGGTATGTCTTTACTGATTTGGGTCTTCAAAAGTTGCTTTAATGAGAAAACAAATATCATGCTAATGTCCTCATGGAACGGGACATGGTGGTGTCCAGTCTGATTCCAAGGTTAGAGAAGGGTGCCGTCCTCAGCAGGTGCTAAGTTGTTCGAAAAGATACGTAAGTTGTTTGGACCAAACTACTCAGTATACAGAATGCTTGGGGTTTGCTCTGGTCTATGGGTGCTGTGGAAGTTGTGGAGATGCTAAGGATGCTGTGAACGGAGAATGCAGGGGGATGTCTGCACTCAGGTGTGGCTGATAATGTGCCCTTTCTGGTGGGCAGGTTTGACAGTCAAGTTCATGAGGGAGGCTGGGGGCAAAATCAAGGTAGGGAAGAAAGAGATGGCAGGGGGGTGGGCGGGGGGGAGGCACAGGAGGTCCAACATACCACACTTCCCAACTTTACAGTTTTCCCACAGCCTTATCCCTGACCAGTGGCCTTTCTGGCGGCTGCCTCCCAGCCGTGACCACACGCTCGGCTCCAGAGAGCCTACCTGGGTCCTCCCTTGCTGGGGGGCGTACCTTGAGAGACAGTTCGAGGTTTTCACCACCCCGCAGTGACATGAGAGGGTCATACGCTCCGGTGTTGTGGAAGTAGTGTCTGTCCACGGCCACGACCCCTCCGGGCACCACTGGGCTCCTGGAGAGAGGAGGCAGGGACAGACTGCAGTTCAGGAGCCCGAGCACACTGGGGCGCTCACTGCGCTCCGGTGCTTGAAAGCATTGACTCTGAGCTCACACAGACCTCCGTGCTTTTGACGGCAAGACCGAAGCACAGCAACCATGTCAGAAATCCCAGGATTTTATGAAAAACAGAGCCGTGTTTGCCTGGGCCTTTTGTATCCCATCCTCGGGTACTGCTCTTCTAGGGAGGGCCACGGGGTCATACCTGAGGATCCCCTGCCCTCTGGCTTGAGACCCTCTGTTGAGACCTTTGGGACGAAGGACACGGTTAAAGTAAGATACCCTAAGGCAAGTAGCACCAGGCCTGGACAAAGGTCAGCTCTGTCCTCCTCTTTCTCCCCTCACCTCAGACCTTACCCATTCTTTTTGCTTCGGGACTATCCACCCCAATTCTAAGATAAATCCACCAGGGCCTGTGGTAGTACATAGGTCTCGTCCACACTGGGGGAGATATATGTGACTTATTTAAATGCATTTAATGTTTAAATGCTAGTTTAAACACAGGAATCTAGAACCCCTGAATAAGGAATTAAGATAACAATAGTATCCCTCAGAAGGGTTTAAATAGGAGAAGATGCAGCTAGGAGTCTTTTGACTGAGTGTGTCCATTCAGGAATAATTTTTTAATAGACCAAATATTAATGCAGCAAACTCTGGGTATGTCTTGAGATGTAAATGACTCGGAGTTTATATATTTTTTAATTACCAAGAAAATAGTGTTACATTAACAAAACTACTGACCTTTGGGTTATTACAAATACTAAGTTGTACCAGAATAGTAAAAACCAGTATTGTATATTGCTTGATACAATTTCCAACTCTGCCACTTAATATTTGTAAGGCCAGGGTTAATTTCTGGAGCGGGAGGACCCAGCACTTGTGGCCGGGGATCTGAGAGAGGAGGGCACTTTGCCTGCCTCCCACGTGGCTGCCCTGAGAGCCCAGGAAGCCCTAACCATCCTCTGCCCTGGAAGACAGGGCCCAAGCAGCGCCATGGGGCGCCAGGCGGAAGGCGGCGGGTACAGCTCTCTGGAGGACCCAGGACTGGCAGCCGAGCAGCACGGCCGAGCAGCCACGGCCTGTGGCATGGTGGCCAGGAGAGGATGAGGGACTTCGGCAGATACCGCGTGGAGGATGCCGGCTGCAGGCTGCGGGGGACCAGGCATGCCAACCCCCTAGCCGAGGCCTTGCCCGGGGAAGGTGTATCGTGGTGAGCACCAGTGCAGGCCAGCTGGAGCACGAGGTGGGGCACTGCCTCCCCCCTTGCCAGAGCTAACTCCAGAGAAGCCGGGAGCTCAAAATCAGCTTTCTGGGGAGACAGGGAGAGGTGGTGGTTGCACAAGACTGTGAAGGCAACAAACGCTGCTGAATGGTTCACATTTAAGAAGTTAATTTTATGCTATATGAATTCCACCTCAACAAATTCTTTTTTAAAGGGGAGTGGGGAGATACAGCTTCCTTCCCGGGGCTCCCTCGGGATACCTGCTCTGGGACCCCAGTGGGGTGACCTCATGAAGAGAATGGGTGAGGACGTTCCCGCTGAGACCCCAGCGACGACCAGCATAAACCTTCAGACTTTGAAACCGCGTGTGGGGGATGCCAGCCCCCAGTTGTGGTGTCAGGGCCAGCCAGGCCCCAGACACTGCGGGGCAGAAACCACCAACCCCGATGCTTCCCCTCAGAATTCAGGAGCCGCAGACTCCTGAGTTTAACGGAGTGGTGCTTGTGTCGCAGCACTGCGAGTGGGTGAGTTTGTCACGCACCAGAAGCTCCCCGGGACATCCACTTAAATAGTGCCGTTGTCCAAAAACCAAACAGTTGAGGAGCAGCCCACGTGCTAGCTCAGCGTTCACCTGCCTGAATCCTTCTTTTGTGTGGAGAAAGGACCTGAAGCCAGGCAGATGCCAATGTTACCTGGTAAGATAGCTAGGTCATTCCATCTTAACAACAACCCTGTAAGGTTTATAATCGTCACTGATGGATTATTGGTGCAGGCTCCCTCTGGGGACCTGAGGATGGGTAGCTCACTTTTATCCTGTCTGCGCTCATCCAGTCTTTTATCCCTGATTTACTGATGAGGAAACTGAGGCACAGATTATGTAACTTACTAGGAAACCAGTGGAGCCCAGATCAGCTCCCAGACAGTCCAGCTGCCAAGTCCATCTTGAGGAGGCAAAGGAAAAGTAGCCTCCATGGGGGGCCTCACATGCCCTCACCTGATGGGGCTGATGGCGGACGGGCGGGCCTTCCTCTCGCTCTCTGGCAGCGCCTCCCAGTGGAAATCCAGCTTCCAGTCCAAGACCCCCCGCTGCAGGTCCTGGGAGGGGTAGTACTGGAAAGTCCTCCAGTCAATCACATCGATGACGGGAGACACCACCCGGCTCCTGGAAAGAACTGTAGAATCAGATAAGGAACGCAAACCATTCCCTTGTTGGAGGGATGGGAATATGACCCTGCCCCCTCCCCCAGGCACAGCCTAGTACGGCAGGCAGCCCCTAGCCACTCTGGGCCAGTGGGCACCTAAAACGTGGTCTGTTCGAATTGACATGTGGCCTGAGTGTAAAATACTCCCTGGATTTAGAAAGTGGCGTGAAAAAGTTGAAAGTCTCGGTAATCTTAATTGATTATATGTTGAAGTGATCATGTTTTGCTATATTGGATTCATAACAAAATATATTAAAATTGATGTCATGGGTGTTTTATTTTGCAATATGATTACTAGAAATGTTTAAACTTCATGTGACTCCTGTTATGTTCTATTGGACAGCAGTGTTCTAGAAAATATGTTTTTCTGTAAGAAATTGGGGGTCCACTTCACAGAAGAGGGTGCCTGCCCCTTTCTTTCTTTAAACACCTCTGTCGACAGCGCTGAGGAGTGAGAGAATAGGGTCCTTGGCTCGGCTCTGCCACTAAGAGCTGTGTGACCTTAAATTAGCTGCTGAACCTCTCTGGGTCTCAGTTTCCTCTTTGGTAAAATGAGAGGCTGAACTGCTTCCCACAAAGCTTTTTCCCAGCTGTAACACTTTGGGACTCTCATGGCCCTTGACCTCTTTGGGGGTCTCTGATCTCTTTGAGGATCAGGGGGAAACTATGGACCCCACCTCAGAAAAATAATAAGGCCATACACAAAATACTGCACACAAATTCAGAAGGTCCATGGGCCCCCGCACTAGGGGCTGCTTCTTGTTCCTGCCTGTATCATATACTTGATTGGCTGGAGGGCTCAGGATGGCCACGCCTCAGAAGTATCCCTGGTATATGAGCATGTGGTATCCTCCAGCAAACCAAGGTCCTAAGTTTAGATTTATTTGTTCATTTACTGATACTGTTGGTGATTGTATTTTCCCTCTCGCCCCCACCCCTTCTCTTTTTGTACAGCCTGTGATATGATGTCTGAGGATGATGTGAAAAATTGCTGCAGGTCAGAGACTTCACCTTTTTTAAAAATTTTATTTATTTACTTTTAGAGAGGGAAGGGAGGGAGAAAGAGAGAGAGAGAAAAAGACATCAATGTGCGGTTGCTGGGGGTCATGGCCTGCAACCCAGGTATGTGCCCTGACTGGGAATCGAACCTGCGACACTAAGACTTCACCTTTTAAACAAATAGGTAGTCACTCGGATGTACCAGGAGCTTCTCTCCTCCTAGCCAATGTCGCAATTGCATTATTTTCCTGGCCTCTCCCAAACTCTAAAATATTCTAAAATTGGTATGGTGGGATGGGTCAGGCCCGGACTCAATGGTGGCTGGCAGGTACCCCTCTGAGGAAGGGGGACCCCTGGATGGAGAGATGCCAGCCCCGCTGTGCTTGCGCTCCCATCAATTTCTACTTCTGTTCCTTCCATTTTGGGGACAGCTGGACTGGCGCAAGCCCAGACCCTATGGAGAGGGCCAGAGTGGTCTTGGGGTCCAATTATCAGCTTTAATCTGTGGCCGTAAGTGACCGACATTGGTGTGAGGAGCCGTGGGGTTTATATGTGGAGCAACGATCTCGCTATGCTTTTCCCACCCTTTTCACGCTGTTTGCTCTGGAAGGTAAGGGGACCTTAATCCCCCTTGGTCTGCACTGTGTGGGGCCACCCTGTATTGGCCCAGAAAGCTAAGAAGGAAGGTCAAGGATGCAAGGAGGGCACCCAGCCCCTTCTCAAGTCTCCACTCACTGGGGAATGAACTGAGCAGATGGGGTGGATTTGGCTACTGGCAGAATGTTTTGCGGAGTTTCAGAATCGAGAGCCAAGGAGCCATGTGGCTGAATTCCGAAGAATCCCACCGAGTTGGTGCCATCTGAGGAATCAGAACGGGACAAGAAAGGAAACCGCGTTCGAGCAGCCACGCACTCAGTTCGTTCTAGACCTGTGAGCTGTGCCCTTTTGACAAAGCGTACGTTACTTTGTATCAGAAAACGAGAACTCCAATATTCATCAGATTTCTGTTTTTGCTGTTTTGCTGGAAGCTGGGAGCCAGCCACATGTAACTCACTGCATTCCCCCAACTCCCCACACCATGTCTTCCTTTCTGAAATCTCCTTTTCTTCTATTTTTAACCAGACACAGGCACGATTAATCATGAGCCTCTGTGAGTACAGTTTGGATAGAGATGAAGAATAAAATGTCAATGGAGGAAGTGAAAAGTTTTCTGCTCTGGTTTTTATTCCCATGGACCACAGAGGCTGCTTAATCAGGACTGAATCAGGGGGTTACTACGGTGCAGTGACTCAGAAACGCTGATTTAAAAAACCCCAAACTGTCTTCTATTTAGCTTTGGGCTTCATAGCTACACTGTGTCTGGTGTTCTTGGAATTCATTCAAAGCAAGACGGCAAGGCTGCCCTGTTTGACTGGGAAGGAGCTGTACGTCTCTGCTCACTCCATCCCTCTCTCGCTTATGAACTGAGCTTTAACGCGCAGGTGGATAAGAGGTGGATCCTCTCTGAAGCCTTTCTAAGCTCCAGGAGGACGAGTGCTTGTATCTGGGAAGGCAAACAGAGCCGCTGAGCTGTCCACAAAGACTGGTTAACCGCAATCCCGATCCTGGTGTGGCTTCCGCTGCCCGTTCCCGTCTCCTGTGACTGGACCACTTTGGGTCATGCCACCCTCCATTCACAGCTTCCTGGGGCTCCGTTTTCTCCAGGCCCCAGCAGTCTGGGGAGGTTTTCAACGTTTGAACGGCGGGAGGGGAACAAACACTCAGTCCACATCAGGGCAGCGAACAAACTACCTCCTGGAGATTCCAAAGACACCTGCAGCTTCAACCTTAGCAGCCGACCCTTTCGCCACCAGACAGACTAAGCCCTGGCTCACTGCAGCCCTCTTTGTTTTCCTGGGCCTGGGTGTTCCTCCAGGCCTGAGATACGTAAGGCCATTTGGGAAGTTCACTCAAATGTTTGGTGTTTGTAAAAAGCTTCTTCTACCAAGAAGCGGAAGGCTCTGAATTCTCTCTTCCCAGAGCTCGTGCTGCTGCTCAGGGCTGGGTCACCCCAGGACTGGAGCCAGCCCTCCTGGGACTCTGTCTGCTGAGGGGTGTGGAGTAGGGCGGGGCTGGAGACCGTCCCGGGGGCATCAGGCCCACGGAAGGCTGGGCTGGAGGCATCTTGGGCGCCCTGCTGCTCCTCAACACACACTCACATTCATGCACTCAGTCACACACACACTCATTCACACACACTCACACACTCACACTCATGCACTCAATCACACACACACTCATTCACACACACTCACACACACACTCACACTCACCTACTCACATGGGAGTTTTCAGACTGTCTTCTGTCACTTAATTCCTCGAAGGGCAGGGAGGTGGGCGGTGCTCCATTCCAGGCCCCACCTTGCTTCTTCCCGATGAGTAGGCCCGCCTGGCTGAGCACTGGGCGACCTCACAACCAGGAGTCTTGAAGACGGGGGACCAGACCAGCCTCCACGTGGGAAACAGCTGGGACAGCCTCTCGAGCCAGGATCACCCCTGAGATGCGGCTGCCTTTCAGCGCCTCACTCGCGGCTGCCTCCCTCTCCTCGGAAGCCTTCGTTTTGCCTGGGCCTTGACTCCCACTCCTTGGCTGGGGTCCCCGAGTTGGCGTCAGCACAGAGCATTTGGCAGCTATGGTGACAGCCACTCTAGATTTTCATCCTTGTAACTTTGTGTAGAATCCAGCTACCAATCCCCACGTCCGAAGACTGCCCGGAAAACAACGGCTCCCGGAGAAGCTGCCCGGGGCTGCTGTGCACGGTGGTGAGGGTGGCACTGCCCACCCCAAAGGATGCCTGGAACGTCCTAGACACTGTCAATTCGCTCGTGGATTTCTTAATTTTCTGGCAGGTACCATGGAAGTGTCTTGTTCTAACAAAATGAGTATAGTATGACAAATGTTCTGAGGGGTGGGAGTAAAGGGTCACGAGGAAGGGACTCCTCTTACCGATGCCTACCATGTGGCTGCATGGCTCTCGGCAGACCCGCTCAGTGGGCAGGGGCAGGGGCAGGGAAGCAGGGCTAGAAACCAGGCCCTGAATTCTCCGACCAGAGTTTTGAGAAAGCAATGACTTTGAAGTAGCTGATTTATGGCTTACTACACTGTTTACTCACCATTCCCACTCCACCTTTTTAATGAAAGCTCTACTTGCTTTGGGGGCAATGGGTCCCCACCTGGTGACAGATGTCTCTTGCCATGAGCCTCTGAGGCAGCTGGGGCCCTTTGTTCTCTCAAAGAGCAGCCGCCGTGAGGACAGGCACCCAGTGGCTTGCACCGTTCACTTTATGGGAGGGGAGGAAGTGTCTGAGCTAGGTCCCCGGGAACAGTAAAGCAGACCGTGAAAGGGGACATGCTCGCAGGCCAGAGCTCACAGAGCATCGCTGTGTGCAGTGGAGAAGGATGAGCACTCAGACCCGGGTGAGGGAGCTTTTCTTTCAGAGCCTCACCTTCGAGGGCCTGCAGGCCGAACCCTGGGGCCAGAGGCAACCGAGTGCATAGGAGGCTGTGAATGAGGCGTGAGATGTGACCTGGACGCCAAGGCAAGGCAGGATCGGTCAAGGACCAGAGGCAAGTGTGTGTGTGTGTGTGTGTGTGTGTGTGTGTGTGTGTGTGAGAGAGAGAGAGAGAGAGAGAGAGAGAGAACATGGGGAGAAAGTCTGATAAAGAGGAGAGGGGAAGAGCCCAGGAAATTAGCATTTCATGGACTCACCACCTCTTAACTCTGGAAGCCTTCTCAGGAAGCCCCGTTTTATTTATAGCTGGGGAAACCGAGGCATTGCCAAGTCTTTCTCGCTCAGCCTAGAGTGAGAAATCTCCCGATCTGTGAAAAGGGCGCCAGTGTGAGAAGCAGATGTCACGAGGGACTGGTTCTAATCAATGTTTTAACACATGTCTCACAACCAGGGGTGGGGACGACTCAATGTTTCTCCCAGATCAGCTTCTCCAATCCCTTCACAATAAATTCATACACAATAACAAGAGCAGTAGACCCAGAGTCAGGACACCTGGCTTGGCTACGAAGTGTCTGCGTGCCCTTGCACACCTGTTCGCCTCTCGGAACCTCTCTGCCTCTGTGAGAGGGAAGAACAAACACCTGCCCGAGGCAGCTCACAGGGGCTCACGAAGGATGTGTATGAAAAGAGCCCATCAGGGTTATATGTACAGAAGGCTCAATCACATTAACCACTGGGTTCCTGCCTGCATAAAGGAGCACAGAGGACAGCCCAGCTGTCAGGTGGCTGTTCTCTGGGACCCATTTGCCCCCCTGAACTCAATTTTTTTCAATAGTGCAATCACGAGATAGGACCAGGTGATCTTAAAGGCCTCTCTGAGACCCGTCCATCGGTGATACCGAGATGGGAATTAGAGGAGGCGTGGGCAGGACCAACTTTAGGTTCCGCTCTGATGATGCGCAGGCACTGTGATTTTGAGAACAGAATCCAGGCTGGCGGCCTCGTCCTAGGCCCAGTGCTGAACTCATACATGTGTCCCGTTCTTGTGAGACATCAGCCAGGAGTGGGCGGTACTCAGCGCCATGGAACTGGGCACCGCTAATCCTTCTTGAAAAAGGGATCCTGGGCTGCTAGCCACTTACGGCATGTGGCTTGAAACCGTCTCCATCTGGCGAGATGCTGACACCTTTACCTTCTCACTCAGGCTTTTTTTTTCATATGTGGGGTCATCCCCAGGTCAAATGAGACAGTCAACATGTACCGTGGGAATGAGCGCAGGAATAAAAGTCCTGGGCTTCGTTCTGGCATCATCAGCCTTGTCTGGCTGCACATCATCAAAAACAACCATCCATTGCGCTCCAACTGTGTGGCGGGTCTCCCAGAGCCCAAGGCATGCCTGCGGTGGTTCAGAATGAGTGTGTCACCACCAGGTGTGGGCTTGCTTGAGTGGGACATGCAGATGGGGGGGGAGCAGTTGACAAGACGTGTTTAGGAGCCATGTGAGAGGATTAAGGAAGTCGGGAGGGAATGACAGCAAGACCAGGAAAAGGGAACAGAGAGCTGGTCAGACAAAAACGTTAAATGTCGGACTGAGGGGTGTGTGATGTAGCCCTCTCCAACTTCATAGTTCAAGGGCTGGCCTCAGTTAAAAAATTAAAGACCCCTTTGTATAAACCAGAAAACCAAAGAATGCTAGTTCTCAGCAGAACTTTAGCAATCTCAGCATCTAATGCTTTGTTCTTCAGGGAGAGAAGTCTAGCAACGTTTAGGGACTTTTTCGCAGGTTATGTTACAATCTTGATTAAATTGCTGACTTTTCACCCAAGGTAGTGATAACCATGGTGAGCTGTGACCCTTCCCGGGGGTATTTGCAACTTAATAGAAGCTGTTCTCTATGCCTCGGTTTCTGTGTCTACAAAACAAGGTAGATGGAGTAGCACCCTCCCTTTCCACTCTGCTTCCCTGGGCTCCTTGAAAACCTGAAACACACGAAAACCCCTAAGAAATGTGTCTCTCTCCAGTGGTTGTTTTTTTCAACGACAGAGATTTTCTGTGAATGGCTGAGGCTGCAGACTACTTCTCGCAGCCCCACCCCTGGCTCCCCAGCCTGAGCAGGTGAATTACCTGTCACCAGCGATTCTGCTGAGGAGGGGCTCCAGCCAGCCCGGGTGGCACTCGCAGTGGGCGTCCATGAAGACCAGCACGTCCCCAGCGGCTCTGGTGGCTCCCAACATCCGGGCCCTGATGGCGCCCAGCCTCTTGTTGCTCCGGAGCAACTTCACGCCCTCCAGCCTGGCCACATACGCGCTGAGAGCAGTCTTGAGCTGTCCTGGAACCAACAGGGTTGTGGTCAGCACAGCATTTTACTGCTTGACCGTTGCCTTTCTCAGGGATGAAACATTGTCCTGACTTAGTACTTTGCAATTATTTTTCTGATTAGCTTGTTAGCTCCCAGTCCATTCCCTGGAGAGGGACCCCTGTTAATGAAGTTAAAATTTTTGAACTTGGACGTCTGAGAACCAGACCCTCTGTGACTCCAGTGCATTGAGCATTCATTCTCCCCTTCCACCTCACTAACAGAAATTTGCTTTTATTCAGGGCGGCTAAAACCACTCACCTGCTGAGACATCTCTGCTGCTATTAGTAGCTTTTTGATCCAATTCCAGAAGAAATATACTAAATAAGGGGATTCCAGAAAAACTGTTGTTTCACTGAATTTTTCTAAATTTGGCTGGCCTCTGCTTATCCTTTTCACTCTTTTCCTACCTGGAATATGGATGTGATGCTCAGAGGCAGAGCAGCCTCATTGAGATTATGAGGCCAAAAGCCACACTCCAATTGTGGCTAAGTGAAAAGCAGAAGGACCCGAGGACTCGGGAGGCAGTGCCCATCTCTAAGGCCCAGCTCCTTTGTCTCAACACACATGAGGAAAAGAGAAGTCTCCCGAGGGACACCGACAATAACACAGTTCATCAGCTGATGGGGGAGGGACCACAGGAGTGCTCTTGAGAGTACTCTGCCCCCGCTGAGGGTTTGCAGAGTCTCCCTGGGCACCTTCACCAGCCAACCCGGCTCAGCCCAGGACCTGCTCATTTGTCCTGCCTAATACCCAGACGGATGCACTTGAGTAACCTCCTGTGCTTCTGAGGCCCCTGGCTAGTCTGACTTCTTGCCATGGCCAGGCTGAGTGAATTCCCAACATGAGGAATTGAGGAAGAACTAACAAAGGCACCTGGCCACCCTCTCCTCTCCTCTGTCATTCTCCTCACAAATCTCAGCCTCTCTTGGGGCAGTTTGATCTCCCTACAAGGCCAGGAAGGGCTTCTGTAGGCCATCGAGTTGAGCCAGAACTATAGTCCCCAAGCCCCAGCCAAAGACTGCGGCAGCGGTGCTCAGAGCGAGGTCCATGACCACTGGCATCGGCACTGCCTGGCAGCTTATGAGAAGTGCACATTCTCAAGCCCAGTATCAGATCCAGAAACTCTCAGGGCGGGCCCAGAAATTGGTGTTTTAAACATGCCTGCCAAGTGATTCTGATAAGACACTCAAGTCTGAGAACCAGCGACCCAGGAGTCGGGCAGGGGGTTTCTCTGTCTCCATCTTTTTTAGGCACTGGGCCACGCAGGGGGCCGGTCCCCAGGGGTGAGTCTCTTGTCGGTGGACACACTCGAGCAGATTCTGCTGGTCTGTGCTCTGGGCCTGACTTCGCTGCACTGGACATAACTCAGCTCTGGTCAACTCTCCTCTTCCGGCCCCGATTTCCCCTCTGGGAAGGTTGTGGGTTCGGTTAAATAAACAGGGTGATTTAATGACTAACTCATGTCAGGTGCTTTGTGCGGTGTCTGCAAGGTAGGGGACACTCACAGAGGGCCACCCCTTGTGATTCTGGAGTGTCTTGGGCCAAAGCTGGTCAGACTGTGTGGAGGCTGGGGCCCAAGGGAGAGATCCCAGGGGAGAGAGCCCAGGGGAGAGGCCCTCGGGAGACCCTTGCCCTGCTTGTCTGCTTCTGTCCTGTTCCCCCACTTCTGTGCTGGTTGCCCCAAGGGGCTCTTCAGTAATGAATTACCCACACCCAAATTCTCATCTGGAGGTCTGCTCCCAGGAACTTTTCCTAAACGGGCTCCGAACCCCAGTTTGTGCATGGCAGCCCCCCAGGACTCCCCCCCACCTTGCTGGCTGAGGTCGTCCACGAGGATGATCTCCTTCAGGAAGGCCCTGGGCGCTGTGTCCAGGATGCTGTGCACGGTGCGCAGGAGGGTGGACCAGGCCTCGTCGTGGAAACAGAGGATGACGCTGGCTGTAGGCAGGCTGTCCTCTGGCCACTGCTGCCGGCACCTGAGGGACGGAAACCAGGGAGCCATGGGGAAGAGAGGCCTTAGCAGGTGCTCAGCTCTCTCAAGCTCACTCCCTAGGCCCAGGGGCCGGGGCCGGGGCTGCTCCAACCGCACAGCTCTCTTCCCAGCTCAACAGCTCTCTCTGGGTTTCCTCAAAATTTCCCCATGAGGAGGGCCAGTGGCCTCCCCCGAGGCAGTGCTGTGTGCTCCCTCCCACGAGCTTCTTCACTGGTGTCTAATCCCCACTGTCCTCAGGGCAGTCGGGAGGTGTGGCCGTAGTTCACTGCAGACGACTGTCCTAATCAGGAAAATGGGAACGAGGGATTGATGGCCAGTCTCGAAGAGCTGTCATGAGGCCTCAATAAGACAATGTCCATAGTGAGCGTCCTCTGGATGGTAATTGTTGCCCATTTAAGGGCAGGGACATATTTTCTTTGTTTTTGTATTCCTAAAACCTAGCATAGCACCCGGCACATAATAAATATGTATTAATATTTTTGAAGGAGGGGCGAGGATTAAACATTTGTGCATGCCAGCTACATGCTAGGCCCTGTACATACTTTATTGCACGGTCACCCTATAATAATATGCTGATATAATAATCTATGGGTTGGGCTGTCTTACCCCATTTTACAGACCAGAAAACTGAGGCTCGTTAGAAGGCAATACTAGGTAAAGGCCACGGTACCAACAAGTGGCAGAGCTGGATATTTTCCTTCAAAGCCATCCTGCCCTTTCCGCTTTGCTGGTTCCTGGCTTGCGTGGTGCTACCGCCACCAGGAGGCTGGCTGGACGCTCCCTCCCCCTCTCCAGGTGAACGGGAGGCGCTGTATTTGCATGGCAGTGCGCGGGTTGAGCTGTCCGAGAGAGCCCACAGTGGCACTAATGATGGTAACAACCGGTTGCCTGCAGGAGGGTATGGCTCACAGTTGCTCATAAAGGGCATGTCCCTGGAGTTCATTTCCAAGGTGCATCTCTCCAGGTTTTTACTGTTAAAACCACATCCCTCCTCAGAGGAGTATTTGTTTTGGAATAGTGGTTGTCTCATGAACCCCAAACTTCCAACCTCTAGAGGCGCCTGTGACGGTGGAAACGCAGGCAGAGTGACGGCCAGACTGGCCCCGCCCGAGGGAGGTGCCGGCGCACGCTACGCTGCACGTCTGGTCCACAGCGTCCTATGCCTGGCAGGGTCCTCCCCAAGTCCGAAACGCTCAGTGAGCGGGAGACCTGTGTGTAACTCTGAGTGCAAAATCTTACTGTGGGAGGGGACCTCGATACCAGGTAAGTGCTGTAAGGTAACAGTAAAACGGAATTGCTAAGTAATAGTTTTCATCTTTATTATATTTTTTCCATTGCCATTTAGTCCCCTTACCCCACCCCCCAGCAATCACCACCCTGTTGCTTAAATAATTATTTTTTCAAAAGCACATGGCCATCTCATAAACCAGTCGTGCCAATCATTTATTAGTTTATGTATTTGTGCATTATTCCTTTCCATAAAGGATTTGAAGTAACTCACAAGAAATACCTACAATAAAACAACACCAAAATATAAATAAGGATGAACAGTCAGGAGCAGGGAAGTAGGAAAGTGCAGAGAGTCAGCATGTGGAGGAAGAGCACGAATGTATAGGCCAGGGAGCCTCGGTGTCTCCAGAATGCATTTTAAATGGGACTCTGAGCTTCCTGGCAGCTTATTCTGCAAGAGAATTGTCACCGTCAGAGAAGTCACATACTATGTTTTTTTTTTTTAGGGAAAGTGATGCTCTTTTTGGTACTTTTAAAACACCTATAACTTTTTATTTTGAAATAGCTTAGTACTCGCAGGTTGCCAGAACAGCACAGAGCTGCGCCCAGCTTCGCACACAGCCACCTTGCACGGCATCCACACGCTCAAAACCGGGATCCGACCAAGCTCAACGCCACCAGCTCACATACAAACCGTATTTGGATTTCACCAGTTTTTGCACCCAGCACTAATTTTTAAAGGAAATTTCTATGGACTTCAGAAAGAAGTCCCTAAATGGATGACAGTGTCCTTAGAAGCATCCTGAAGACAAATGAAATAATGAACTCCTAGGAACGTTTACAGTCTCAGCTCAGGGCTGTTCCTGTAACATGTCCAGAGTGGAACCAGTTACTGGTAAGGTTTTAGGAAGATAACAGAGTCCTCCCCAACCCCCGTCCCCCACATGCTTCATCTTTCTCTTACCCCCCTCAGCCTTCCTCCTCCCTGAGCCCCAGCCCCCCTTTCCATGTCCTAGTGGAGCTTTCCTCCTCCACTGCCCCTGACTTTAATAATTTCCACTCTGCTGTAAGAAGTGCTCTAGAAGTGCTCACACACAGGTTCCCAACTTCCTTAGCGGTCTCTCCATTTCCTCTCTGGTCGTGGGCACAGACAAAAATCCAAAGAGCCTAGGACTGGGGCCTTGCAGGGCTATGAAAAGAAATGTTGCCTCAATAAATTCATTGGCCATGAAAAAGGCTAAATCATTCCTTGGGCAATTGCCAGGAGGCTGACCTGGAGAGGAATTTGGGAACAGAAAGACATATGAAATTCCTGTGGGTGCAATTTTATAGGAACCAAAATTCATCACCGCAAGGCAGAACATGGCCATGCCTTCCCAAGGTACTAGCCCTTTTCTCTACCCCAATCCAGGGAATATGAGGACTGGAAACAACACAAATGTGTGCACATGTGTGCATGTTTGTCCCTGAAGTGAGGTCATCAAAAGAGCTTAGACTTTGGAATCAGACCTGTTTAGATTTGAACCTTCACTCTGCTGCTTCCTAAGTTCTCGTGGGTGATACACTCAGTATTTGTAAGCCTCAGTTTCCTCACCTGAAAAATAAGGATGACAATATTTACTTTGTGGGCCTGCTGTGAGGATCTAAGAATAATTATGAACACTGAATGGATAGATAGTGGCTATTTTATAGCTCTCTTGGGAGGAGATACAATGTGATTAGCATGTATATCATCTTTGTAAAACAAAGATCTTCAAACAACCACTCTATAGTGTAGCATGAGATGTCTCCTGAAGGACTTCGGGAGGTGGGTGTTTCCACACCTGCACAATGCTAACAGCACCTATTGCAAAGCTTGCGTAAGAAACAAGTGCTTGGCACAGTGCTTCAGAGGGACTCCAACAATGAAAGAGCTTCGTAGGGAAACTGGAGCTCTTTAAGACCACACTCCTCGCACATTCCTCAAAGTCAGGATACAGAAGAGCTTCCTGCTCTGCTAAACTGCCAGGGCCCCAGGGTGACCGACTTCTTCCCCTTGACCTCAGGGAGTGATGGTGTCTGCAGAGAGGCAGTCCAGCCTGATGATGCAGGGCACCGGTGCTGGAACTCCGCCACTTCCTCGCTGTGTCAATGAATGTGGGCGAGTCACTTAGCTTCTTGGTGCCTTGGTTTCCTCAGGATGGCGATAATGTCATTTGCCTCACAGAGCTACTGCAACAGTGGCGTGGCCTTCTGGAAGCACCAGGCATGGTGGCTTGCAGAGTAAACGCTGTACAGGTATTAGCTGCTGTTATTGGAAGATGTGCTCTTACTGTGAAATGAATCCCTAAGGCTCTTCCAGCCTCGGAATTCTGTGTCCTTGAGTCTTCGGGACCCTGTTGGTGTAGGAGAGCGGGGAGGAAAGAGGGAAAACCAGGATAGCTGGAGTTTTAAAGAGAATTTCATGAGAATTCCTTGTCTCCTGAATTTTCTAGGTTTTACAGATGGAAAGAGCTGTGCTGTCTCTTCACAGTGAGAGGGGGTGGCTAACAGATAAATGGGCAAGGAGTGTGACTGGGGTAAACTTCATAGGTTGCTAAGGGCTCAGAAAGGCCACGTGGGTTCTTGAAAGTTATTCCAAAGCTAAAGAAGATGCCTCCCTCAGCTGTGGGGGGTTGTCCTGGCGTCAGCCCCCCACAGAAGGGATTTGGACCTGCTCCGCGGGAAAAGCTCATTTAACCCTCAGGACATGGACAGACAGCTCTGGGGCTTCTCTTCCGGCACCTGTGAAACCGCCAGGTGGTGAGGGCTGGAAACAGCCAAGAAATAATCTGCTGTTTGTGGGGGAGGACAGCGTGGGCTCCTCGTGAATCCTGTGGTCTGCAAGGAGGCCCGGCACCCTCCGCCTGGCCCTGGGGTGCAGTGCTGAGTGTTATAAACGCTGTCAAGGCCTCGCATCTCGGGCCTGTTGGGTGCTTCTCAGAGGAGGCAGGGATTGATTGTTCCTGGTGGGAGCAAGGACCTGGAGGAGGCGGCCTGTGGATGTGCAGGCTGCGTAACCCCCAGACACCGGCAGAAAGAAGGGGTACCGAGTGCATGCATGGGCTTGTGGGGGTCCACAGTCGTCATCCCAGGGATGGGCTTTGACAGCCCGTGGGGAACAATGAGGCTTGTGAGGATGGGCAAGTGGAATGAGCTCCTCTGTGCCCGCAGGCCCAGTAATAGGCGGAGGGGAGGAGGGGGTGACATTGGATACCCTGAGAGCAGCCAAATGCAGCTCCACCCACCTCGCTCAAAACTGTGTCAGCTTAGAGCGTCTTAGGCGGAGGCTCCATGTCACGGGGCTGGATCCTGCGTCTGCTCTTCTGTGGCTCCGACGAGGAGCATAAGCTCTCTGATAACCGCCCTTCCTTCCATAATTTCCAGATCCACAGACCCACTTGCACCTACAGCCACCAACTTGTATCTTCCGTAATCCTCCTGATTCCAGGAAGTCCTTTTAAAGCGTGTACTTACTTGCCCTCAGGTTTCTCCTCTGTAAAATGGGGTTGTTGGCAGGATCCCATGAGTTAATAGAGATACAGTGCTTAGCCCAGGGCCATGTTCATAGTAAGAGTTCAATAAAAGCTAATTCTTGTTTTTATTTTGTGCAAGTGTCCCAGTGCTGGATACCTCCCTAGGCCTCGGTTTCCTCATCTGTGAAATGAGGATAACAAGTAGTCACTTTAGACGGCTACGGAAAGATGACCTAAGGCGAGAGGAGGGCTGTGTGCG